TTCATATATTCACAGTCGTTTATTCACTACTTCACGGGTTAACTTGGATCCAACATAATGACCAGCTCCCAGTTGACTTGTTAGTTCAGTTAGTAGAGCGCTGCACCGGTATCGCAGAGATCATGGGTTAAAATCCCGTACAGGCCTGAATTTTTTTTTCAGGCCTTCTTTTCACTACTGCTCTAGTAGTGTTCATAACTGCGAAGATCACTTTCATATTCACATTACTGAATTTGTACTCTAAATAAAAAGGCCCAGAGTTAATAGACTCCTATGTAAGCTATATCGATGAGCCACTTCCCTTAATGCTGGAAAAAATCTTGCTTTTCTCCTTTAGATTCATTCAAAATGCATGAGTTTTCTTCATTTCTCAACAGATAAACAAAGCACCATCGATTTCCAGTTCAGAAAGAAGAAAGATTAAAATAACTTTAATTTTCCTTTAAAAAAAATTTTGTCAAGCAGACGTTATAGGAGATAATTTTTGAAAACACATTTTTTTAAAATGAGGATTGGGTGTTAATTTCACTCTACATTACTGACTTTACAATTTAAATCCTATGTCGGGTACATCAATGAGCCACTCCCCTTGATGCTGAAAGTGAGCTTGCTTTTCCCCTGTAGATTTATTCAAAATGCATGAATTTTCATCATTTCTCAACAGATCTATCAAGCACCATCGATCTCCAATTCAGTTTACCAACGACAATAATTCTCGCCACAGCCATATCATTTAGTCTCGTGATGTCTGTGATAGGCAACTCTCTTGTGATTTGCATCATAGCCAAGCAACGATCCATGAAAACACCAACCAATTGTCTTATACTGAACTTGGCTGTTTGTGATATTTTGACCAGTGTACTAATGACACCACATTTCATCCAAATGATATTTCTTGGAGGCAAATGGTTTGGTGGTGTTATGGGAAGCTTTACTTGCAAAATGTTGGAATACGGAAACTCTGTTACACTTTTCTGCTCTCTTTTAAACCTTGTTGCTATCGCCATTGATCGATGTCTCGCCGTAACTCGACCACTATCTTACAAACTTTCA